CGGGGGCGGCGCCGCCTGTCCCCGGCCTGGAGCCGCGCGCGCCCCCGTGCCATCCTGGGGCCCCGGGGTGCCCCGACCCCCTGCTGCGCCCCGGCCGCGATGGGAGGGGCGCGCTGGGCGCCGCGAGTGAGATCACCGCGGTTTATTTAAGGAGCCAGCCCTGTTCTTTGATAAACTATTGCGCCTTGGCCCTGGTTTATAGCTTCTGTGCGGGGGAGAGGAGAATTATTTACGGCCCCCCTAACTGGGTGTGATATCAGCCGTGGCTGTCATCGAGGCTAGTTCATCACCATAAAATAAGAAGTGTTCCTCGGGTCAAGGGTCTGTGCGGTCTCTCCTGCGGGTTCAGAGAGATTCGGGGGGGGGGGACGACAGCGGCTGAGAATCTAAAGATAAATGGAAAGATGCGTGTTTGTGAGCGTAATTTAAAGAATTTGTAAATATCCGGTGTTTCAGCGTATACAGTGGGCGCTGCAGGAAGCACGTGTGTTCTCTACGTATGCCCGCCCATGCTTACACATGCATGTTTACATTCTTACCAAGCAAACCATATGTAAACACACGTCTCCATTTCTGCCCCACAGCGGGAAAGGTTAACCAGGTAGACAGAAAGTAAATGGCACCTCCCGGGTGGGGAAGCCCCCCACTTCGCCCCAGAGGTCTTTCTTTACCGCTTTGGGTCTGGAATGCCGAATTACACAGGCCCTTCCTTCCATCAAGACAGCCTTTGCATTGTATTTTGGTATTTGTGATTGCAAAGCACGGGGCTGAGTCATCTTAATAACATACCGCGGATGCAAACGTACGGAAATGCAGGCGCGCACAGATTTTGTGTGGAACAGGGCTTTGGCGGGTGGCCGTTCCCAGTTGGTTTTTTAGTGGCGCGGCTACATGCACATATATTATAGTAATTACTTTCTGGGTGCCCTCTGTAGGATGGCAGAAATGTGCTCCACGTTATATGTGACGCATAAAGCCATATTGTAAAATAATCAAAGGCTTCTGAGAAAGGTTTGTGTTGATTAATAAAGTGTTTATGGTACTTTGTTTTGGGGAAAGATTGTGATAGATATTTGAGAGCCACCCAACTGGAATAGAAAATACCACGTTGTTATGGGAGGCCCTTCATCAGCTTGAGAGAGATTGCTGGGGAATTTCATGATGGCTAAAAGCCGGAATCAGATGGGGAAACAGAAAGCAGCTGGGAGGAGGAAGGTTAGGATTTTGAGAGAGGGAAAAAAAAAAAAAAAAAAAAAAAAAAAGCCTGGAACTGGGAGAATTTCCGTGGTGAGTGTGGACTGTTCAGAAGCTAACATTAACTTGTGGTTGTTTATTTTACATATAATAGAATAGCTAAATGATGAAGTGTATTAGTTCTTTAATAATTTATAGAAATACTTTGATGTTGCAGTAATTACATTAAAGGTCACATATCAAAGGTAATTTGGTTGAGCAGCTGTGATGGTTTCTCAGACGCAATCAATATCACTGTCCGTGGTGCTGATTTCACCAAGGGGCCTGCCAGATTAAAGGAGGCTTATTACCAGGCAGAAAGGCCCAGGGGAAATCAGGAGCACGTTGGAGGCAGGCACCAGCCCCCCTTCCACCGATAATTAACACTATCCCCCATAATCTGCTCTAATCCTTCATACTGGGATATCCAGTGGCATTTTTCTGAAATCACAAAGACAAGTTGGGCAAGTTTGTAAGAAAGGGCAAAAAGAAACATGAATATATGTTGGCAGAGAGGAGGGGTGGAGGTGGATGCCAATGGTGGGCTAAGACACAGCCCAGAGTCCCCCTGCACCGCCTGGAACACTGTTCTTTCTTCAAAGGCTTCTTGAGGAGATGCGTGGCCACAAGCTTCATCACACAATTCTCTGGGCAGGCAGGGCTCACAGGGGAGGGACAGGAAAAAAAAGAATTTCAGCTCCAACTTCTGAGGGCACATTGTCCCCACACAGACTCACATGTAGACAAATGGAAAACAAAATGACCCAGTAAAATTATGCTTTCAAGTGGAGTCATTTTGGTTCCGAAAAGCAGAGCTGCCATGATTATTGTGAACTGGTTCTCTCCTTGGAGATCAGAAGAAGTGCCGCCGGCAAATGCAGAGCCGTCTGAGCAAAATGCTCTTCCACCAAATCATACACGCTCCCAGCAGCTGAGGCTGAGCTCACAGCTGCCAGTGTGGTTCAGGGACCAGGGCACGCAGACCAGCCTCTCCTTGTCTGGGGCATCCAGTAGGTTCCCCAATGAGCATCCTCCACATCTGACTAAGGAGAACGAAATTGAAAAGGAACCTGGAAAACTGATAACTTCAGCAATTTAGGCACTTTTCCAGACTTCAAAATCCATTAAGATCAATCCATTAAAAATCAACTCTCTACTTTCTTACCGAGGAGAGGAAAGAGGGAAAGACAGTACAGACAAGGTATTCTGTTTCCCAGCAAGTTACTGAGCTAGCATCCTGTTACCAGCATGAAAAACAATCCCATTGTTTTTGCGCACACAAACTCACACGTGCTCATGCACATGCAGAGAGAAACACACACACACACACACACACACACACACAGCAAACAACAGCAACAAAGCAATAAATGGCAACTGAACTAAAGGTGCTCCAAACACCAGGCTCACTTAGGAGCTGGACAGGGAGCCAACATCTCCCTTGGGATAAGCAGAATTTCAGGGAATAAGACCCCAGCGACTATTCCTCTAAACCAGAGGCCAGTTGCTTCTGGGAGTCAGCTTAATCGTAGCTACTCTGAGGGATAACAGGGTTGTTCCTGGACCAGTGTCACAAATGCATTATTATTTTTGTATGTAGCATGATTTCAGTAGAGTAAGATTACTAAACCATGAAGCCTCACCACCAGGGTCCTTGGGAGTATGGCCTTCTGCCAGAAAGACAGTGAGATTATTCTGTCTCTCTCTCTGTGTCTCTCTCTGTCTCTCTGTCTCCCTCCCTCTTTCCCCTCACTCCTGGTTGCCTAGCCCTCTATAGCACATCCCTTTCTATTTCAGTGTTTACAAGGAGTGACTTCCCAACCCACCAGTAACTATTTCCCAATATAATGGAAACACATCTCCTTTCCCTCTTGGAGTTGCCCATCAAGTTGGGGACAGAAGTCACACACACAAATATAAGCACCACTGGAAGATGCAGAGGTTATAATAAAGTAGGCAGTGTGGCCAATTGCCTGGCAATCACAGTGAATACCTGTCATGCACTCAACTAGGTGACAAGTGTGTTACTACATGTCATCTTCCTTGCCTTGATTTCTCTTCAAGACCCTCTTGTGAGGATTACATCATTAGTCTCCTGACTGATGAGCAGACCGAGGTTTTCCCATGGTCACACAACTGATAAAAAGTTCTGAGTCTGCTCCTGTCACCAGTTCTGTTAGTACTGCCATTTGCTTTAAGATTTTTGAGGGGATCAATATGTCTACAGAGTGGGGACAGACTTCTCAGAAGTTTCCTTCAGAATATAGACAGGTGGGAAAATACTTGGGAACCAGACGAGTATGTTAGGGCACAAGAGACAGCCCAGTGCTGTGCATGCAGCACAGAGCAGGAACCTGGTGGCCAGCCCACCTGAAAGAGAGACATTCATGATGCATACTGCAGCTCTGAGAATCGCTCAGAGTCTGAGAAGACACAGGAGGCCCCGCAGAACAAACATGTGCCTTAAAACACAGCCCTGCTGATGAGTCCCAGCTGCTTCCACCTTTGGGATTTGCAGGGTATTGTCTTCCAGGGAGCACCCATCTGTTCCCAAAGTGAGGAATATGGGCCTCGGGCAAGGCTCTGACTAGGGAAAAGCAGGGAATGTGATGACGGTTGGCCAGAACTGTTCTTTCAAAACCATGAAGGACTCTTGGCGAGGGCTAGGGTAAGGGGGTTGGGGGACTAGGTGCTTAGCAGGAGGCCTGGAGGAAGCTGATAGAAAAAAGAGCTGGAGGGCCAGGAGGGGTGCTCTATCTGCTTGGTAAACATTAAAGTTCCAATTCACTAGTTAAAGACTGGTTTTGTGTCTTCACTGAGCAACTCCAGAAAACAAAGGAAACTAACACACTGTTGCCTTCCCTACCACCCCCAAAGTCAGCCCAGAAGACATGCGATATCCCTGCCATCCAGATTCCCAGCTCACGTCATTGAATTCAGGACCTGTCATTTCCATCACAAGTGTGAGCTTCTGTGAGTTTGCCAAGGAGGATAGTAAAATAGAAAATTTAGTAAGACTCAAACTTGAGTTGAAGCTCTCCTAATGCTTCCTTTCCTCATCCCCTCGCCTCGCTTTTGTCCTGTGGGGAAAACAAACGACATGGCTTTCTTCGTCCCATTCTTTTCACCAATCTCATTTTTGTTTCTTTCTCTTTTTCTCTCTTCTCTCCTGGTCTGTTTCCTCCTCTCCTCCCTCCTGAACACTGTGTTTTGGCCTCACATGTCCAACTCCTCCTTCTTGCTGTCCTGTGTACCTTTTCTCCCTCCTCTCTTCCCTCTCCCTCGCTGTTTGCTCAGCCCACCTTGGTGCCCATAGGGGGCTCTAGTGGGACCTCTGCCAGCCTTCCAGGGGCTTCGCCAACGAGGCCCATACCCCCAACTGTCCTGCCATTGAAGGATCTAGCTAATTTTATGTACAACTGTAAAGATGAACCGTAAGTATATGAAGGATACAGGCAAGAAGAAGATGAATAAATTATAAAGGGCAAATGATGACAAGCCAGAGGTCCCCAGAGACCGCAATATGATAACAGAAACTAAAGATGAATTTATGATGGATGTAGTTAGC